CAACCAAAGCCTGCCTCTCACATATACACACACACACACATAGCTAGCTACAGAGGAGTATTTAAGGTATTAATAAGCTAGCGCTAGCTAGCTAGCTAGCTAAAGAGAATGACAAGGTATTAATATGCTAGCGCTAGCTAGCTAGCGTGCTAGAGAGGAAGACATGGTATTAATATATGGGCCAGAGCCAGGCACACTCAAAATTTCTTTAGGAATTTTCTAGTTGTGGCCTATAAGGCCTGATTTAATGGCAGCTTGTCTGTTTTCATGCATTTTCTGTAGTGAAATTCTGAAAATTGCAATTTAGTTGCAATTTTTGGGGGTATAATTCATTAATCAACCGCAACTTGTTCCAGTGAGAATATATTCACTAGCTTTTTGATTACTAGTTTGGTGATGTATGACTCAGCGCTATAATTGTAATGCAAATATCTGGCTACCAGATCTGGCCCAAATGTGGACCGTAATTCAGTGCTGTATTTGGAGTGTGCAGGCCCGACCTATTTTGCTATGTGGGAATTCTCCATTAAACCAGGATAATACTACAATAAAAATGCATAATCAATATAATTGCTTCATATCCATCATATCAGACTTTTTAGTAGAAGTTTGATATCAGTAAACCCATATATTCTGATCTAGCAGCAGTCTGGAGCCCTGAGATCAGCAGCCTGTAAGCTGCCATGTGGTCCATGTTAGAGTGTGTGTATTGCTGTAAACCTGGGTTGTGGTCAAAGGCCCTCTGCTGCTATCTGCTGGAACCACTCAGGTGCACTGACAGACAGGTTGAAACACTGAATTGTTACTTTGTTACCAGGTTAGTAGACAAAAAGGTCTGTGATATAAAGATAAATGTTAGATGGTATTAATCACAATGATTTTGCGTTGTTACGATAAAAGACAGACGTCATTCCACATTGACTACGTGACAAGACCAGTGCATAGATTCACTTCACTGCTGGGATTTCTCATTTTCATCCTTTCACCGCGTACCTGTTCTCACCCCCTCCATTACAGACTTGGAGCTTCTTCCCAAAATGAGCCCAAAGATTTCGATTTTATACTCAGTGTCCTCAATGAGATCTGTGATGGTTGTGCTTCGCTCCTCGCCACCCAGCACTAGCTCTCTTGGTTGACCTGGGCCCTCTTCCTGGCTGACCATTATGACAAAGGTGTCAAAGGCATCCTCTTCAGTCATCCAGGCCAGCCTAAAGCTCTCAGGGGTGACATTGGAGACTAGGAGAGCCTGCACCTCTGGTTCGGCCTCTGGTGACAGGGGGAAAGTCAGTTCTCCTCCTCTGTGGGACTTAAGAGTGCTTTGACATTTGAGGAACATGGCAGTGAAACAGAGTGTATCAGTCTTTGTGCAAATGCCAGCATTGGTTATATGGAAGCCCAGCAGTCAACAAATAAAGAGGTTGAGTGTTCAGAGGGGAAAGAGAAGAGTTTTACTGCAAACTGGTGAAAAACACAGAAGAAAGAAATGAAATTAAGGCAATGCGGTAGATCTAAAGAAAAGCATCCAGCTGCATTCTTTTTCGGATTGGTTAACTGGACCTATCAGAGCCACCCTGCTTAGTATGATGAAAAACTGATTGTGTCAAGATTGTGACTTAGTAAAACAACACATTAGTGTGACCGAGGGCAGCAACTTTTTATTCAAAATTCAAACTACTGTTGGAACATGGGAGAAACATTAAATATTCAATTTGTAATGATCTGTTTTAATTTAAAAAATCCTGGTAAAGGGCTACAGGCCATGCCTTGCACCCCAGTTTCTATGTCTGTCTTACTCACTGCATACCCACTAGACTAGGCTATTGTTTTTCTCTTCACACACACAAAATGAAGAAAACTGGTGAGCTGTACTTAACGGATAATCATTACACCAAACTATCTGAGAAATAATGTGAGAAAGCATTAATACAGATAACAACTTTTAAGGCTTGGAAAAAGGGAGCTAGAAAACGGTACCTTGAAATTATTCTGCAACATTTAAAAGGAAAAAAAAGATGTACTACTCACAGAGCTTGTATCTGTACTACTGTAGCTGGCAAGCGCTGGTGAGTAGCTCTATCCCTATCTTATTCTTGTGCAATTCCATGGATGTCAGAGTAAAAAGGCTTTGTCAAACAACAGCTGCTGTAGAATAGTTCTCAAATACAGAAGAGTGCAGACTTGTAACTATATGCATACAGATGGGAGTGTGTGCATGTGGTGCTGTAAGAGCTGGTAGTTAAGCAATCATTAGCAGCATCTAATAATGACTTTGATAGGAAGAGAGGCTGAGAGACAGCAGGAATCTACAGCTGCAGCAGAAAAAGCTCTGTTTCTCCAGAGGATGAGTCCGCTGAAGCTAATTAGCCAGAGAAACTTCCGGTAGCAGCACAGATGAATACACGGACCGGACAGAGCTTTTAAACCAGCCTGGATAGAATCAGATATAAGTAGGCTCAGGAAAGCCTCAAAAAAGCCCAGCACCACTGCTCATTAAAACACTACGCCAAATGTGAGGGTCTCAGGGGTCCTTGAACTAGCCTGAAACCCCATTTTTATTGTGAGGGAAAACGCATTGAGGCATTTGTTGTGAGAAGAAGCGGTGGAAATGAGAAGCAGAGCAGACAAATCCCAGGGAGCTGTCACTCTTCATTAGCCGCCGGGCAGCTTTAGCTGGTCAGTGGAAGAGAGGGAGGGCCATATCCATCAGCTAACACGTGCAAGCTTGCTACTGATTTCACCCCCCAGCCCCCCACCACCACTTCTACCCCTCTACCCCGTATCCCTCCACAACCCCAGGACCTGAGGGAACACAATCCCCACTCACAAAAGGGAGCCTGTTATTGAAGGAGGTACGTGCCAGCGCCAGCTAACCTGCTGAAAAGGGGGTCTGCAAGCAGAAGCCCATAGCTGGCTCCAGTGTTCCAGTTGTTTAAAACTCCCTCTCCCTTAATCAAAGTTTCCTAGCTCCCCTTTCTCCAGCAGACCGACGATGACCACCGTGCATACATAATCAAATTAGTCAGCACTTGTATTCACAAGTTGGAATGTTTTATGGATTAAGCGATGCTAATGAAAAATTTTAAGATGGTTTCACCAGCCATTAGCATGCAGACAATGGCTCGTGTTGAGTGCATGCCATATTCTGCGTAGCCCCAGAAGCCCCTGGCACCCTAGCACCAGAGCCCAGGGGCAATGGCAGCATGAGAATGAAGAGCGGTCCAGGCTTGGGAGAACTGGGGATGCATACAGAAGAGAGGCCTCACACAAAGTGACAAAAGCGCCTCAGGGTTTTTTTTTTGGTCCTCTGTCAGTCCTCTCATCTTTCTTCCACTTGACTTATCCTCATCAGTGAAATTCTGAATGATAATGCTGGAACAGTTACTGACATTAAAAAATCGTCAACTGACGCGAAACTGGTTATTTTTGACCTTCTAGTTCAGTCACAATGGGTTTAGAATGTGATAGTGAGGAAGTTAGTCCTCAAAAGGTATTTTGTTTTGGTTATGCTTCATTTGTAAAAGTGCTCAGGGGCCATTACAAGCTATCACAGCAGATCTTGGTTTTACAGTTTACAGCCCACTTATTAGGCCCATACTGTAATTCACAGCATGTTAATCACTGATAATGACTGTGATTGGTGTAGTGGGTGGCAAACCAGCACACCTGTTGGCCCAGTTAAACAGCACATTGACATTTGTATGTGTTTCTGCTTGTTCACACAACAGACCAGGTGCTGTTTCAGGCTGGACTCATACCAATAGGCAGACTGACAGCTTAAAGGTGGATCCAGAGCAGATCTGTGGCTCATATAGTCTGAATGGGTTTTTTGTGGGTGCTGAGGCTCAGTGTTAGCCCATTTCACAATCCCTGCATCAAAGGAAGTGATACGTGCATGATGGATGACTGTTGAGGGGGTGTTGTTTGGGAATTTGAATTGTGCATGCCATCTGAATGACAAGGAGACTTCGTTTACCCTGAAAAGAATAACTCCTGCCACAGTGGAAAGCAGGTAGATCATCTTATATACACCTTTTTGAAATGTACTTCCAACACTGAAGGTAAACTCAGAAACGGCTCATAAAAATTGTTGCCTTAAAATATGTTCATGGGGTTGAATGAAATAAGCCTCCATCCCTACAGGTATAGCACTTTTGCTGGATCACCTTTTCTGGAATATTCTTGAACTTATTTCTAAGTCAATGACTATTAAAGGCAGTTTAAAGATTAAACATAAATATGTTGCAAACAATTAACAGCAAACTGAAACTGCTGTTTGTCTCATCAACGTCAGTGATTTATATCCACTAAACCTGTGTTAGTGATTGTTGGAACAGTGGAAAAACTAACAAGACTGCTTTTAGTGAGTTGGTTTTTGTTTCTGTCCACTTTCAATGAAGCTACAATGTAACAATGATATGCAAGGTAAAATTACAGTTTTTGTCTATTCAATACAATTCAATCAATTAAATTTTATTTGTATAGCGCCAATTCATAACAGAAGTTATCTTAGGACACTTTTCAAAATAGAGCAGGTCTAGACTGTACTGTGGAGTCTGGTTGGAAGCAATATTACTGCTGTTTTTGGTTAAACAAAAGGTTCATATCTCTGTGGACGTACTTTGATGGCCGCATTTGTCCCCAAGGAGCCTTTTTTTTTTTAACAAATATCTTAACATCTAACTCTTTGAACTGAGGGTTTATTTTGCCCAAATCAGCATTGGTTAAGGTTGAAAAGGGTGTGGAAAGACTAAGAAAGATGGTTTTGGTCAGTTTTATTTTGTTTCTGTGATCTGTGTTTCTGTGTTTGGGTTTGTGATGCTGGTGTTCTACTGCGACATCTAGCAAATTTCGTATAACCTTTAAGATTTTTTGAAGGGCATGGGAAAATCAACAGCGCTAATTGTAGTCAGGGTAAAAAAGTGTAAAAACAAACACAAACCAATGTTTGAGTCAATAAAACACCACCAGAGCTCAAAGATCAGACAAACACACAGAAAAACACTGGTTAATTCACTGTGTTCAGCAGAAGAAGAGGGAAGCAAAGGGAAAGACTGAAGCCCCAGCGTTGACGGGATTTATACCTGTGATGGTCTCAGCAAAGACAGGGTCTAAGAAGGCCCCCCTGTACAACCCGTACAGATTGGCCCTGTACCAGGTGGTGGGGGAGAGGCCAGAGATTGTGAGGCTCAGAGCATCAGCGGGCACTGTGTGGTTTTGCCACTCAATGCCCGTCTCTGCGTCAGTAACCTCAATCAAAAAGGCCTGGAAGGCCCCATCCTCGGCAGACCAGGACAGGAGGAAGCTGTCCCACGATACTTGGCTTATGGTGACGTTGGTCACCACAGGCTTCTCCTCCTCTGGGTGATGACAAACACATCAACATGGAGTTATAGGACTGGGAGAGACACACAAAATGAACGGTTAGACCGATACAGGTTTTTCAGTCAATCCTGGAATTTTTTGGACTGAAACTCAACTGACTAGGAATAGACAGCAGATTTCTATTTGAAAAAAAATCCTGAATTGGCTCCATGTATCGGTCCAACCTTACAACACACAAATGTACACAGATCCAGAAGATTCCTGGGTTCTATTTGAACCTTTCTTGATGACTAACAATGTACATTGTGAAACAGAAAACAAAAAAGACTGAACTTCTGCTCAGCAATGAGTCCTCCTTGACAATATCAGCTGCAAAAGGGGGTGACACTAATAATCTCTCATTTGTATTTTAATCATTTCATTTTGCTGTCAAAAGAAAAAAGAGAGACAAGGCCTGCAAAACTGTCTAGAGTGGAAATATTCCCTTATTTCCACCACAAAAGGCCAGAGGTAAAAAAAAACCGCCTCATTATCAGTGGCTGCCTATAGCCATCTCCTTTGTATTACCATATAAGTGAGAAGACTTAAAGGTAGAAAGCAGCAGGCAGACATGCTGATGCAGCTAGTGCGCATTAATGGCTGTGAATGAGCCATTAACATTTGAAGGTGCAGCGTAGCCCGGCCAGAATGGCAGAAGTACGCTGTCCTCTTCAAACCTATGGGGAGGCCATGCAGAGCCACGCCGCCTGTAATTGGAGTCCATTGAGTGTGCAAGCATTCAGAGAGGCGATTAGAAAGAGACAGAGATTGATGGTGCAGGTAAACATCAAGGCTCCCAATATCCTCTTTTCACTGTGTGGCAGAGTGAAGCGCAAATGGGATGGTAGACAATATGAATGTGATGGCATGGTTGGGGGATCTGAGTCAGCGTTGTGTTGCAACTTTTCAGGAGCCGGAAATAATGCTTAATACACCAACGCTTTACTTTAAGTCAAGTAAGTTATTTAGCATTAATAATCAGCAAATAATATTAATAATAAAAATAATAA